TGACCAAAGCCGCTCAGTCAAGCAGAGCAGTGGCAGAGAGCCACATGGTTTGTCATGTAATCAATCGAGGTTGCAAACAGTGGCCAAAGCCAAGTGGCATCCGATGCTGAGAGCCACATCACTTTGATTTAGTCGACTCTTCCTCCGTCCCTTATCGTCGCTTCAGCTGTCGCGCCCAACCAGGCGTCATTTTGTCGGTCAAGCATGAATGTATGGTTGCTGCGTCGGATATTCGGTTGGGCCAGGAACGAACTACTATGCTCGGATTAGCACTGCCTTGGAGTGCATGTGTTTTTTTTATTATTTTTGCTTGGCCACCTCTAATGCTGCCTCGACCTTGGAAACGTTCACGTGAGCGGGGGTGTTTTGTGGTTGAGCTCACTGGGCCGAACGGAGCAGGGGTGGCAGGTTTATCGACATTGCATTGGAATTGCTTGCCATTAGTGTTTCTTATAGTCTAGACGCTTCGCGTGACCCCACCAGCCCATCCAGAAACGAGTCCAGGCGAGTTGCCTTGATCAGGGAAGTACAGGAACAAGCAGTGGAACAAAGATGGGGGGAACATCCTTTCAGACTGTTACCAAGCTGTCGCTAACCGTGAGATCCTGGGAGGCCCAGAGGCGTGACGTCTTACTGGAAAGCAAACTAGACCTGGCGTCCAGTGTGTGTGGGGGGGGACGTCGCGTGCCCACGGCTGGTCACATGTCGAGGCATTGGTCAATATGGCGACCTGGATGGGCTTTTGGGCAGATGTTCAGCGGCACTGCCCCCCGGCAGGTTTGTGGAGGGATACTTGTAGATCGCAATTGTAGCTGCCTTCGTGAGCTCCTGGGGTATCCGGCAGCATGCGGCCTCATCATTTTCTGCCGTCTGCTGATGCTCAAGCCACCTCCCCTTGGGAGAGCGTGCAGCCAAAAAGAGGGGCACTGGTAGGACCGCACATGTACCAGCCCGAGCAGCACACAACATCTGCCCAGTACGTTATATTGGCCTTCTGGGACCATCGGAGGCTTCTTTGGGCCCTCCTGTGGCTCGCTTGGGGCCCTCGCCAAAGTGGCAAGAGCCGGGAACGCATCCGAAGTACCCATTGTGCAAGGACTCGAGAAGAACTAAAAAACCTTCAGGCCTGCGTGCCGCAGCCCCTGACCCAGATCGAGTTGGGGGCAAGCTTCTCTTGACCGATCCCTTGGAGACTTCTCGGCCCACAATTGTTAGAGGTTTTCATCTCGCCGCTGCTTTGATAGGCCTCGAAGGTATTATGTTGGGAGAGTTGTGTTGTTGCACGGGGAAGCGACGCACTTGCAAGATGGCTTCCCAGAAGGAAGGAGGGTTTGTTGAAGGAGACGAGGGCTGGCTATGAAGACAGTAGTGCTTCTACAAGTCCGCAGCCCCCCGCCCTGCTGCGTTCTACAGGACACTGCAATGCAGGAGTGTTTGTGTGTACGAGTGCATACATCCAGAATCTGGTGCAGGGAGGGCGAGAGCGCGAGGGACAGGCTACGAGTTTATCCTCCAAGAGAGCTCCTTTTCGCCCTTCATCGACCACAAGAAGATGATGGTTCGCTGCAGGTGTCCGGCGGGGGGAGAAATTGTTAGGGTTCGTCGCTGAGGGGGCAGGCAGTGCCAGCAAAAACGTCTGGCGGGAACGGCGGTACGATAATCTGGGGCAGGTGGTGGAGGTGGCGGAGGAGGTGGAGGTGGAGGAGAGGGAGGGGGTATGATGAGGACGATTGGATTAGGGGGTAAGAGGAGGGGGTACGAGGAGGGGAAGGGAGAGGGGTAGGTGGGCTTGAGGAGGGAGAAGGGGGAGGGAGGAGGAGGAGGAGGAGGAGGAGGAGGGGGAGGAGGAGGGAGGAGGAGGAGGAGGAGGAGAGGAGGAGGGAGGGGGGAGGGGGAGGGGGGGAGGGGGAAGGGGAGGAGGAGGAGGAGGAGGAGGAGGAGGAGGAGGAGAGGAGGGGGAGGAGGAGGAGAGGAGGAGGCGGAGGAGGAGGAGGAGAGGAGGAGGAAGGCTACGACAGGGAGCAAGGTCAGGTGGGCGGGCAGGGTGGGCAGGTTTGGCGTGGCAGGGCGGACGTGCAAGCTTGTGCCCTCTATGGGTCTTCTGGAACGTTTGGTGGTGGGCGGCTGGTGGGGATGGTGGGCAGGCGGATGGGCGGGGCAGGGTGGGCTGGGCGGACTGGAGGAGGAGGAGGAGGAGGAGGAGGAGGAGGAGGAGGAGGTGGCGAGGGAGGAGGAGGAGGAGGAGGAGGAGGAGGAGGAGCAGGAAGAGGAGGAGGAGGAGGGGGCGAGGTACGAGGAGGAGGAGGAGGAGGAGGAGGAGGAGAAGGGGGAGGGGGAAGGGCAAGCTAGGTGCGCTCGCGTCATATCTGACATCCTACCCCTCCCTCCCATCCCTTACCATGGAGTGTATCCGCTCTCTACTCGCACAGTCGGATGTCGAGCAGGGCAATGATCCCGAAAGGGTACGCGATGCATTGTAGAGCACGGCATGGTATGGCGTAGAAGAGTACCACAAAGCGTAGTATGTCACAGCATGGCGTGGCGTGGAGTAGTGAAGAATTGCATCGCAAAGCTTTGCAACGCACAGCATGGGATCGCACAGCGGCCCCGAACATAACATTGCATAGCATGGCGTTGAAGATCAAAGCGTAACATGGCATAGCACGGCGTGGCACTTAAGCACTGCATATCACAGCTTCAGCTGAAGGCATGGCATCGCGCAGCGGAACGCAACCTAGCATTGCATTGCATGCCGTGGCATGGCACGGGAAATGACGCCAGCGCTGCAGCGTGAGCACGATTCGGAACGAGCGGAAGCGCGGAAATGACGCCAGCGCTGCAGCGGGAGCACGATTCGGAACGAGCGGAAGCACGGAAATGAGGCCAGCGCCGCAGCGGGACCACGATTCGGAACGAGCGGGGCCCGAAAATGAGGCCGGCGCCTCAGCGAGAGCAGCATGTTTGAAAAAAAATGCAGGCGAAAACCCAACTCCGGGGAATCTTGTTTGTAAAAAACAGTACGCGGGGGTGGCGAACACTCCCAACCCGTCATCAGGGGAAGGAGGAGAGTAGTATTCATATTGAGTGATTCTGGAGGGGGAGGGGGAGGGGGAGGGGGAGGAGGAGGAGGAGGAGGAGGAGGAGGAGGAGGAGGAGGAGGAGGAGGAGAGGGAGGAGGAGGAGGAGGAGGAGGAGGAGGAGGAGGAGGAGGAGGAGAGGAGGAGGAGAGGAGGAGGAGGGGGAGGAGGAGGAGGAGGAGGAGGAGGAGGAGGAGGAGGAGGAGGAGGAGGAGGAGGAGGGAGGAGGAGAGGCGGAGGGAGGAGGAGGAGGAGGAGGAGGAGGAGGAGGAGGAGGAGGAGGAGGAGGAGGTGGAGGGAGGAGGAGGAGGAGGAGGCGGAGGAGGAGGAGGAGGAGGAGAAGGAGGAGGAGGAGAAGGAGGAGGGGCAGGAGGAGGAGGAGGAGGAGGAGGAGAGGAGAGGAGGAAGGAGGAGGAGGAGGAGGAGGAGGAGGAGGAGGAGGAGGAGGAGGAGAGAGCGAGGAGGAGGAGGAGGAGGAGGCGGAGGAGAAGGGGGAGGAGGGGAGGCGGAGGAGGAGGAGGAGGAGGAGGAGGATGGAGGATGGAGGAGGAGGACGAGAGGGAGGGAGGGAGGGAGATGGGAGGGAGGGAGATGGGGGGGGAGGGAGTTGGGAGGGAGGGAGGGAGGGAGGGAGGGAGGAGGAGTTACGGAGTTACGGATATTGCGACCGTGTCGGTTACTGACTGACTGAGATTAAAACCCCAACTTGGCACTGGCCCTCCGCGCCTTCTCGGAGGAGCTGTAGGCCACTTGCCTGCAGAGATGTTCCTTAAGTAATCAGCACGATTACCCGTGGCAGGTCCGAGGCACACACCTCCGAGCTTCGCAATCTGCTGAGCTGCGAAACTGCCACACTTGCCACAGAACCAAATACCCAGCCCAGAGTGAAACTTAAGCAGATGACTACTATGAGCCCATCCCCCACATATATGCACCCGACGCCCATGGGGGAGATCATATACAACGCCACCCACAGACCGCAGAGTAAAACACGGCGAATCCAGCCAGGTTCGACGAGCAGCCTGGGAGGAGGAGCCTTTTACACTGCAAACATGAATTACCTTTTTCTGAAAGCACGTGCTGCGTGGAAAACGATGAACAAACCCTCGGAGCAGGGGGCCTGGGTCCAGGGTGCCTGACACGGGCCCGCTGGGGCTCCTTAAGGGAAAGGTTCTGCTCAGCCTCAAGAGTCTGAAGAGTGCTGACCAGGATCCGCATGCGAACTAAATACGCTTGATACTCTACATGGGCCACACGGGCCCTCTCGTGCTCGGAGACTCTACAAACCTTGGCCCCCTCACCAGCGAATTCGTCGGCAATGGTGTTACCGACTACGTACAATGGTGGGGAACGGCCTTCTACTATATCCTTAGCTTCCTGATGGGAAAACACGAACATGACACACACCTGCAACGACGGGCGTGCACGCAACTGCTGACCTATGGCATACCACAAACCACCGTCCTCGCCCTCGGGATAATGCGCTTTGCCTGCGTGCCAACCTTCACACACGTTCGCATTGTCTGTCACATAATTGATATGCCCGTCCGCGCCTCGAATGGCCGTGTAGAGGGCATAGAGCTCCCCTCGTCCGACCGTCTGTCGGCCGCCAGGCAAGCCACCCCATACCGCGGCAGCGATCTGCATGGGCTCGACGAGCTCCGTGAAGGCTGCCAGGCCGACCCCACCCGCCTCAAGCGGGGGTCGTGTCCTTCCCCCCGCTCGCGTCCCCGAAGATGAAGAGGGGGCTCACCTCGCTGCCGCAGCCCAGGGCCCCCTGCTCGAAACCGTTGCAACCGTAGACGTGCCACTCTTCGCCCTGCTGCGGCGGCTTGACCCGTACCCAGTCGGCAGGGATGAGCCCCCGCAGCCAGAAGCAGGGCTCGGACTCGTGCTGAGCCTGAGCTTTGATGAGCAGCTCGTCCGTCATCTCGTAGATGGGGTGAGGCTGCCGCCCAGCGCACTGCCCCCAGCACCTGTGGTAGCTATCCTGAGGAGGAGGAGGTGGAGGAGGCGGAGGAGGAGGAGGAGGAGGGAGGAGGAGCAGCAGCAGCAGCAGCAGCAGCAGGAGGAGGAGGAGGAGGAGGAGGAGGAGGGGAGGGGGAGGAGGAGGGGAGGGGGAGGAGGAGGAGGAGGAGGGGGGGAGCAGGAGGAGGAGGAGGAGGAGGAGGTGGAGGGGAGGAGGAAGAGGAGGAGGAGGAGGAGGAGGAGGAGGAGGAGGAGGAGGAGAGGGGTTGAGAAGGAGGAGGAGGAGGAGGAGGAGGAGGAGGAGGAGGGGAGGAGGAGGAGAAAGAGGAATAAGAGGAGAAGGAGATGGAGAATGAGGTTGAGGAGGAGGAGGAGGACGAGGAGGAGATGGAGGAGAAGGAGGAGGAGCAGGAGGATCAGGAGGAGGATCAGGAGGAGCATGAGAAGCAGGGGGGAGATGTGAGTGGCAGGGAGGAGGGGGAGGAGAACGAAGAGACAGAGAAGGCGGAGGGCCAGTGTAAACCCACGACTCATCAACGGTATTGCAAGACACCCTCAAAGTCTCCCTTATTCATAGTCCCGTACAAGGATTCACTTTCATTGCAGGAATTACCTCGTTGGAGACAATATTTTGAACATCCGGAGCTGTGCCATAACACCATTCGTGGGACTTCAACGCCGCGAGTCACCGTCACTGCTGCGCCATGACGATCCTGAATCGTGCCAGGACGCTGTCCCCGGGATTTTAACCATGCGAATCCACAATTGTTGCGCCCTGAATCCGCCATCGTGCCAAAACATTGTTCTGCGACTTTAACCATTCGAATGCTTTACACTGCTGTCAACTCGAAAAACGAATGTGCGCGGCCTTGAGGCGAGAGCCACATGCGGAAAAGGAGCCGACATCCATCCGCGAAATGCCTGCCATTTGTTTAGAGCGGGTGTGCGCGGCGCTACGGCGAGAGCCACATGTTGACAACGGCCTGCCCTCCATTCGTGACATCTTGCACTTTGTATGGCGAATGTGCGCGGCGCTGACGCGAGAACAACATTTTGAAACTGGGCCGCTCTTCCTCCGTGGAGCTCCCAATGATTGGAGACGCAGGTGCGCGACGCTGAGGCGAGAGGCACATCTTGAAACCCGCCCGCCCGCCCGCCCTCCATCTGCGAAGACGGACAGACATGTCATTCGCCGGAGCGCGTGGGCGAACGAATACGCTGCCAGCTAATCCCCACCGCTTCGTGGGAGAAGGCGGCACGCCTGCTCTCTAATCTACACCTTGCGGGCCAGGGGGATGGGGAGGAGGAGGAGGGGGAAGAGGGAGGGCAGGAGGAGGGGGAGACCCAAAATCAATAACAAATCTGTGCCACGCTGCTGGCTGGCAGACACATTGCATTAGTGCAGATGCAGACGTAAACTGCGGAGCGACGGCTTTGCACAAGCACTTTGCCCAGTCTTTTCTGGGCCGGCCCCTTGCGCGAGCGCACGCGTCTGTGGCTGGTCTCGCGCCTTCTGGTTCGAAGGTGAGACGCCGCAGAAAATCATAATCTGTCCCCCTGCATTATTTGCCAGACCACAAGCAAACTTTAAGCTTCATGATCATCCATGGTGAGGAAGTCTCGGGCGAAACGCTCGGCCCGCCCTTCCGACTGGCCTCGGGTACGACAGGGAAGAGTTATCTTATAAGCACAGGAATGGAGATGGCAGAGGAGGATGAGGCAGAAAGCAGTAGAAGGTCGAGGAGCAAGAGGTGGTGGAATCGAGGCAAGCGAGAGCGCGAGGCCGACGACGAAGGCTCGCTCCGCCGAGCCGCGCGGCCGCGGCCGCGCGTCTCGACAGGGGCCCTGAGCCTCTGGCGGCGCACCGGGGCCCCTGACCATGGGGGGCCTTGGCGACGCAGGGCCCCCGACGACTCAGCACACGACGATCTTCACCCTGCCGACGTGCCATACCATGTGCAGGAAGGTGGGAGGGGAGGGCCACCCAACACTTTCTTGGTCGGCGGGGCGAGAGCGAACCTCGTCCGCTAAAAGCTAGGCGGGCCACGCACAGCTTTAATTGGGGAGACAGGGCACAGGCGGGCGGGGCCCTATCTCGAGGGCCACCCAACACGCAGAGCGGCGAGGCGGCTGCACCCTCCCCCCGATCGCACAGCCCCCTCCTGCTCCGAAGGCCCCCCAGCGCCGCCAGGGCCGCCTCGGGCTGCGCGACGGGCGCCGCCGCCGAGAGATGGCGGTCGAGCCCGAGGCGCGGCTCCGACGGCTGCTCGATCACCTGCCTCCGCCCACGCTTCGGGCGAGGCCGCGCGGCCTCGAGCTCCGCCACCGCCGCGCGGCAGAGGCCGCCGCGCGCTGCGCGGCAGCGCGCGCGCCGCCGCCGCCGCCCCGCGCACTCGGCCCGCCGCCGAGCGCCGCCCCGCGGGCGCCGCCCCGCGGGCGGCAGCCAGGCTTGGCCTCGCTCGGGCGTGTGCATGTTTCCTCGGCGAGAATCGTCGAGGACCATCCTGGACCATCGAGCAAAAAAAACACGCGCGGGACCGAAACATGCTCGGGAAACGGACGTCCGAGCGACGGCAAGCAGGACCTCCTGCGCGGCTGGCGCTGCCGCAGCGCCAGCGGCGCCGGGCGCTCGCGGCGAGCCCGCGCGGCGCGATCGGCCCAGAGCCGGGCGGGTCTGGGAGCGGCGCGATGGCGTGGTGGAGGAGAGGAGCCAGAGGAGGAGGAGGAGGCTGAGGAGGAGGCTGATGAGGAGGAGGAGGAGGAGGAGGATGAGGCTGAGGAGGTGGAGGAGGAGGAGAATGAGGATGAGGCTGAGGAGGAGGATGAGGAGGGGAGAGTGGCGCAGTGGCGCGACGGCTGTGGTGGAGGAGGAGGATGAGGCTGAGGAGAATGGACATGTGCAGACTGCGACGAGAGGGCGGCTGCCGCCCGTTTCCGCCCCGCCAGCCAAGCCGCGCCGTGCTTCCTGTACGCGCTGCGGCACTGTACTCTGACGGACATCAACAGGCCCTCGCCTTGCTTTTTTGTCCTCCCCATTCCCCGCTTCCTCGGCCGCCTCGGCCGCCGCCTCGGCCACCACCACGGCGATGTCGTCGCGGTGGTCGATAGCGTCGAGGTCGTCGATGTGTTGGTGGTCGTCGTCGTCGATGCCGTGAACGTCGACGTCGTCGTGGTGGTGGTGGTCGTCGTCGTCTACGTCTGCGGCGTCGTCGTCGTGGTGGTCGTCGTCCTCGCCTCGTCGTGGACGGCGCCGCCGCCGACGTGGGCCTCGCTCCTCTTCCTCGCCCCTCTCATCCTTCGTCCTCCGTCCTCGTCCTCGTCCCGTCCTCGTCCTCCTTCGTCCTCCGTCCTCTTCCCGTTCTCGTTCCGCCCTCGTTCACCGTCCTCGTGCTCCTCCTTCGATCACCTTCCTTTGTCCTCCGCCCTCGTCCTCGCGCTTCGTCCTCGGCCTCGTCCTCGTCCTCGTCGCCATTCCCTCCTCCTCCTCCTTTCCCGCCCTCCGTCTTTCCAACCCCTAGGCCCTCCTCCCTCCCCTCCCCCCTTCAAGTACCCGGAGACGGACTTTGTGGGCCCCGGAATCGCGTTTCCGAAAAAGTGTCTCGTGAAAATGGAAGTTGAGAAAAGACCGGCAACAGGAAACGGCAATTACAACGGTTCTGGAATTCGATCCTGAACCAGAGTCGACAACAAAAACAGCGACGGAACTAGAAAACATAACGGCGCCAGAATTGGCAACAAAAACGGCACAACGGAACCAGTGCAAACATTGCTTTGTCGTCTCTAGCGCCCACTAAGTTCCCTCCCTTCCCCCTTCAAGAAGTAGTGGGGGACGGAGGCAGGAGGGAGGGAGGCAGGAGGTCACCAGGAGGTCACAGCACCATTTTGTCATTCGACGCTGGAGCTACTGTCGCACCACCAGGCACTTCGTGAGGGCAGGCCAGGTGTTTCGCCCGGAACATCGTCACCGCCTGCGGCCTTCAAGGTTGGATTTTCCAGCCGCAGCGCGAACGGAGCGCGGATCGTCCTCAAGACTCGACTCCTGCCTCCACCTCGTCGCACTCCTTATGGCTCGAGTGATGAAGGGCGGTCTCTCTCTCTCTCTCTCTCCCTCTCTCTTAACAGGGAGGCCCCGCCTGCACTGGGCCCATGGCACGCTCGTCCTTCAAGGGGGGCCCTTCGCGAAGTGGCAGAGCGATGCCTGCAGGGACTGACGAGGAGGGGACCTGACGACAGAGGCTGTGTTGCAGCACCGATGGTGCATCTCGGGTCCGCTCTGGGGCCCTCCTCGTCCTCCGTTCCGTCCTCTCCGCTGGGGAGGGAAGGGGGGCGGGAGCGAGGGGGGAGGAGAGGAGGAGGAGGAGGGGGACGAGGAGCGATGGAGGAGGCGGAGGAGGAGGAGGAGGAGGAGGAGGAGGAGGAGGGGGACCCAGATCTCTGATGTCTTGTTTATGCCACTGCGTGGACCCTGGGAGCCTCGACCCCTCCGCAAGGGGGACCGGCCCTCCACTCTTGAGCAGCTGACGGCCCCAGGGCCTGGGGAGTGACCCCGCCTTGAATTGCGGGAGCCTCGCGACGGGGGTCAATGCAAACGGGGGTCAGCCAGAGCGCCGGATCTTGCAGGATCCTGCAGGGACAGTGTCGCATTGACCCGGGCTTGGGCGCAGGCTTTAGCAGGATCTTGCAGGATCTTTCGGGTGGACCCGGGCTTGGGTGCAGGATCATGCGGGATCTGCAGGATGCTGCAGGGCCTGACTGGCCCGGGTCTGCATCGACCCATGTCAGAAGATCCCTGACTTGTTTTTGTCAGGAGGGGAAACAACACACAGACATAATTAATCGTCGACTCTCAGAAAAAATTGGAAAGTATGGGAAGTAGGGGGAGGGCAAAAACACAGAAATGATCCTGGCGATGGACCCAACCATATGCAGTTACGAGTACCGCAAAGCATGTTGAACGAATGAGAGGGAGCTCCCTATGGGGCCACGAAACGTGTGAGGGGTGTGCCGAAATGGGTGCGGTGCCGCCATGCGGACGCAGCCACTGGGGCCCTCGGTGGGGCTCCCTATGGGGCCACGAAACGTGTGAGGGGTGTGCCGAAATGGGTGTGGCTGACGCGGAGGGGGAGGAGGGAGGAGGCGGAGGAGGAGGAAGGAAGGAAGGAGAGGAGACGCGGGGCACCGTCTCTTCAAAACGAGGACCCAACACCAGAGGATGGTTGGGAAATATATGAAAATATGGGGAATCCTGCTGTTTGTGTGTATTTACTTGTGTGTCCCAGGGCCCCTTTCTCTGGGTCTTTGGCGTCCGCTCCTCCCTCCTGGCCCCCTCCCCTGCGGCGAGGAACTACCCCGAGTTCGGCCAGGTGGTCCAGGAGGCGCCCGCGCGCCGCCCGCGCACCGCCCACGCCGCCCGCCCGCGGCGGCGGCGGCGGCGGCCCGGTCGGGGCTCGAGCGCCGGATCTGCGAGGACCCGACTGCTTCAGCCCGAGGTCCTGGCATCGCTCGGACGTGTGCATGTTTCCTTCGGCGAGGACCATCGAGGAGCATCCTTGATCATTTCGCGAAGAGACCACGCACGAAACCGAAACAAAAATCAGGAAATGGACGTCCGAGCGATGGCCCGAGGTGTGCCAGAAGGTCTCTGCCCTCGTCCTCGCCGTTCTCGCTACCCTATCCAGGCGTCTGCTGACACTGATGAGCCTGTTTTCCACCACCACCACTATCATAAGTTGGAGGGGGAGCGGGCTCTCCTCCTCATCCTCCTCCTCCTGCTCCTCCTCCCCCTCTTTGTCCTTCTCCTCGTCCTTCACCTCCTTCCCCCCTCCAGCTTCTGGTGGTGCTGCTGGACAACAGGCCCATCTGACATGATCTTGTCAATCCGCAGCCACAGAAGTCCCGACCCCTTCCCCCGGGGGTGGCTCTCCGGCCCAGCTCTTGCTGCCCCACGGGCCCCATGTAACGGGCCCCGGAGGCGAGGCCCGAATCCAGGAAAATGTCGGCCTAGAAAGATCCTCGGATCTCTGGGTCCTTTTGTCTCGTCGTCGCCGTCGCCGTCGCCGACGCCGCTGCCCGCGGCGGCGGCGACGGCGTCGCAGCCTTTGGCCGCCCCTCGGCTTCGCGCAGCCGCAGTCTCGTGGTCGGCGGGGGGGCGGCCGCGCCTCGCGCGCAGGCCGCGCCCGGCGCTGCTGCTGCGGGAGCCAGCCGGCGCGGCAAGCTGGGAGTCGGGCGCGTCCCTCTACGGGACGATTCTCACCACCTACCAAACCACCCCAACCCAACCCGAAGGCTTCAATTTGCCATTCCTTTCCAGTGGGGGGGGGTCGGGGAACGTTGAAAAATCACGTAGAGCCCGTACCCCCCGGATCTCGAAATTCGGGCCACCTTCGGGTCTTCGGGTTGGGTTGGGGTGGTCTGGCAGGTAGTCAGATCCGTCCTCTGTTTTTTGGGGGAATGTTGGCACAATGCTTGGCTGTGCTGGAGCGTTCTTTCAAAATCCGCCTGTAGGGGGGCCTGCCCGACCTCACGCAAAAGCTCGGGGGAAGCGCCGCCCGACGCGCGGATCGAGCAAACATCGAGGACCGCGCAGAGCCGCGGGCGCCCTCGAGGGCGCGCCCGTTCGCGCCTCGCGCGTGCACGGCTCGGCTCCCGATTCCTCCTCGTCCTCCTCCTCCTCCCTCCTCCTCCTCCTCCTCCTCCTCCTCCTCCTCCCCCTCCCCCTCCCCCTCCTCCTCCTCCTCCTCCTCCTCCTCCTCCTCCTCCTCCTCCTCCTCGGCCTCCTCGGCCTCCTCTTCTCCCCTGCGCGGGCGGCTCGAGAGCACGACGTGATTCGCGCTCCGCGCGAAGCGCGAAGCGCGAAGCGAGGCGCCCCTGCGCAAGCTCGGGAGAGCTGCCACTCGACGCGCAGATCGAGCAGATCGGGCAGCGTGCAGAGCGTGGGGAGGGCGCCCGCATCCAGGTCGCCTTCGGTGCCCCCCCACCCCTTACCCCACGTGGACCAGACCCTGGCTGCTCTCATGGCGGCTGCGTGTGGCGGCTGGTCAGGGCCCCTCTCCCCCCCCGTCCTTCTTGCGTGATTGGTCCAGGCAGAGCGACGAAGCACCGGCCCAGGCCCTGGCCCCCGCTCCCGCCCCCCACCCTGCGGCCAACTGTTGAGGCCCAGAGGGCAGTCAACCCGCATAGTAAGCACGGGCAACCTTCCCAAGGGTTCCCCTTGCGTCCTCGCTTCCTCGGTCCATCCTTTGCCACCTTCGCTGGCCCCGCTCGAGGGTCGGGTGCGAAAGGAGACATGCCAGTGCCAACCAGTTGCCTCGGTTTGGGAGCCTGCCTGGGGGCAACGACACTGGGGGGCTTTTTGACAGGCACGTTCCGGGCGAAATGCGCGACCGCAGGCGCCCGGGGAGGGGGCCCGACTTAGTCGGGCACCTTTGGCAGCTGCGCGATGCTACGCGCAGCTGAGGCAGCGAATTCAACCGCGTTGCGACCAGCGGAGCGCGGGTCGCCGAGGAGCAGCAGCGCCTGCCTTCGCGCTGGCAGCCGGTCCTGCCACCCTGGACACACACATCCCAGCATGGCCCGCATCCCAACACTCAAGCAGTGGCGAAGCGTCCTGGCGTGCCTGTAGCCCTACCAAACAATGTTCTAAGAACCTGTCGTGGTTCCCACGAAATGTTCTCAGAACATTTCTGGCGGAGTCTGTTTTGTTTTCTCACATCGGGTTCATGTTCTAAGAGCATTGTGATTCTTCTCAGCACATTTTTGCGTTCTAAGAACATTTCGTGGTAGGACTATAGGGATGCCGGGACGGTCGGTCCCTGCTCAAAACACGGGGGGGGGCCCGGCCCAGGGGGGGGGTGGATACCGGGCCCCCCCCCCCGCCCATGCATCGCCGATCGGGGCCTAGGCCCGCGGTTCGGCCCGGGAGCCTGCTAAACTGCTGTCGGGGAGCGATCGGTAAGTCGGGCATGCCCCTCGTGCAGGAGGAACGGTCAGAGAGAAGATGGCACGATGACGGTGTCTCGGATCGTTGTTCGAGTAATTATCCTGTGGTGTCGGGTCCTCGTTTTGAAGGGACCGCGCCCCGCGTCTCCTTTCTCTTCTCTCCGCTCCTCACATCTCCTCCTCCTCCCCCCCTCCTTCCTCCCCCTCCTTGCCTCTGCCCTCCGCATGTCTCCGTTGCGGCACACCCCGTACAGCGCTTCGTGGCCCCATAGGGAGCTCCACCGAGGGCCCCAGCGGCAGGGTTCGCATGCATTTCCGCTCTAATTTCGGTGCACCCCTCACACGGTTCGTGGCCCAATAGGGAGTTCCACCCCAAGGCCCCAGTGGCAGGGATCGCATGCAGTTTCTGTTTCATCTCGGCGCACCCCTCACACGGTTCGTGGCCCCATAGGGAACTCCACCGAAGGCCCCAGTGGCAGAGTTCGCATGCAGTTCCACTTTCAATTCGGCGCACCCCTCACACGGTTCGTGGCCCCATAGGGAGCTCCACCGAAGGCCCCAGTGGCAGGGATCGCATGGCGGCCCCGCCCCATGGCGGCACACCCCTCACATGGTTCGTGGCCCCATGGGGGATTCCACCGAAGGTCCCAGTGGCAGGGTTCGCATGGCGGCCCCGCCTCATTTCGGTACACCCCGCACGCTTCGTGGCCCCCCCCATAGGGAGCTCCACTGCAGGCCTCAGCGGCAGGGTTCACATGGCGGCGTCGCCTCCATTTCGGCACACCCCTCACACGCCTCGCTGCCCCATACAGAGCTCCACCGAAGGCACCAGTGGCAGAGTTCGCATGCCTTCCTCTGCCTACTTCGACACACCCCTCACATATGTCGTGGCCCATAGGTCAAGGGCATAAAAAACGCCCCTACCCTGGTTTACGATGCGCTGTGCGCTGAAACTCCTGTGGGCTGACAGGGTAAACCCTGCGTGATGTGCCGCGTCCTGGCGGCTCTAGGCTTTGGGGGCCCCCAGGAGGTTTACAGACCACGCACTTGTAACCCAGGGTAGGGTCGTTTTCTCATCCCTCAAATAGGGAGCTCCGCCGAAGGCCCCCATGGCAGCGCCCGCATGCGTCCCCCAGTCCACTGCGGCACGCCCCGCACACGTTCGGGGTCTCCATCCGTGCTGCCCCCCCCTCCCGTGCTCCGTCCCTCTCGCGGCGCGCTGCCTATGATGAGAAGAAAATCGTCTACGGTAGGTTTGCGTCGTGTCGACCAGCGGAGACCCCAGCGCGGGCGTTCAAGGTTGAACGCCGCTGGCGACCCAGAATCGATCGATGTTGAACGATCGGACGTTGCGGCAGCGGCCGATCGTTCAAGGTTGAACGATCCCTGCGGTGTCAAAAACCAACGCTGGGGTCGGCACGACACGAACCTGCCGTACGTGACTCGTATCTTCAAGTGGTTAGGTCTTTCGTCCAGATAATGTTTGAGCATTATGGTGTTTTGTTGTTTCGCAATGTTTTCTTTCTCCTCCAGGATCCGCATGTAGGAGGACATGCCCGACCTAAAGCTATCGCCCGTCTACAGTCGAGTCCGAATGTAAGGATGGGTAACGTTCACAAGGGTACTCTTGCGTCCTTGCCTTTTTCGATCATCCTTGGATACATCCGATGGCCCGCCGCGCTCGAAAAGCTTTGGCATGGGCTTCCGAGGGGCTTGATTCTCATCGGCGATGAGGATCAAGCCCCTCGTGGAAAACGGAAGGCCAGCGGATGTCCGGCACTGCGGCGCCGGACCTTCTTTCCAGGCCTCTCGGATGGGGTCCGCGCAGGTGGTGTCGGAGAATCGCGCCACGTCGCCGATGCCTTGCCGATGCTAGGGGAACAAAAAGTGGCATAAACAGAAAGACTCGGAGGTCCGCGCGGATTTCTCGGATCGGCGTTGGGGCCCCCCGGCTGCGCCTCCGGCGCCGCCCCTGGCGCGCTCCGCGCGCCAGGGAGGGGGTCCAGCGCCGATCCGAGAAATCCGCGCGGACCTCTGAGTTTTTATGTTTATGTCACTTTTTGTTCCCCTGTGTGTGGCCCGATTGTCTCCACGCCGACGGCGCCGATGCTTCGCCGACGGCGCCGATCCCTGGTGCACCGGCGATGCATCGTCCGACCCAGTCTACAGTCAAAAACCCCCAAAAAGGACGCGCGATTTTGCTCAGGGTACCCTTGCGTCCTTGCTCTTCCTTGCTCTTGCGTCCTTGAGGTTTTCGTCGTCCGCCGCCCCAAAAATCCCAACTTCGGCTTCCAAGGGTCTTGCGTCCTTACCGCGCCTCCTTATTAGGGTGTTTGACTGTACTCGGGCCCCGGTGGGAGGTCTTCGCATTTACACCCTTCGCGCGTGCCCTGGCAGGCGGCTTTTGAGGGGGAGCTTTTGCGCCCCGGGGCCGCGCCTGTGGAGCCCTCCGTCCGGGGGGCAAACGTAGATCGCAGGCGATCTCCTGCCCCCAATTCCCCAACTTTCCCGTGAGGAGTCAGGCCGCTCACAAAGGGAGTAAAAATTCAGATATCACCCCAGGGATCGATTCGGAGGCACCCCTATCCAGGACAGGCGCTTGCATTTGTTGTGTCCAGTCGGCATCCTCACAAGGTCGGAAGTTGGGATCGCCATTACCCTTGCTAGTAGACCAGTACTACTGAGAGTCGGACGAAAATGACGGGGACGAGACCAAGAGCATTTCTTTCCCTTTTTCTGAACGGACTCGCGGTCGGTGCTACCGCGGGCGTTCTCCATTTGAGACAGACAGTCGGCTGCCCACCAGCGGCCGCTGTGAGTTGTGGACAACGCTTACCAGTTTCGGGCGTACCAGGTAGACCGCGGACAGATGAGGGTCCACGGAGGGCGAGGCACACACACACACACACACACACACACACACACACACACACGCACGCACACACGCACGCACGCACGCACGCACGCACGCACGCTTCCATATCCACCGCCTGCCGAAATGCCCCGAGATCGGTCCCGCAGGCGGTGGTCACAGATAGCGCCGCGTCCCGCCATGCGGGGGCGGGAGGGAAGGGGCAAGCGTAAGGCTGGATCAGTCGGGGAGCGAACCCGGCCGTGTGCTCGCCTGCCTTTTCCTGCCGGTGGCCGTCTGGAGCAATTCTCTTCGGATTCGAATCCCTTTTCTGGCCCTGCCCCGTCTTCCCAGACGCCCGACGACGCGACTCTTTTGCCATGCGCCGCCGGAGAAGTCTCGCCCCTTTCCCAGGGGCCAGTTTCCCCCCCCCCCAAGGCCCCGTGGCCGGATAACGGCTCCTGGAGGCCGAGGTCGAGGGACATGCCAGGATTAGAAGTATGATGTTCCAACCTACGTTAGCTTTCATCACCAGGAAGAATTTCGAGCGCCCAAACAAGCACCGAAACTTAAGGAAATCACGTGTCGGATCCTGAGAGACACTCGCCCGACACTGTTTCGACACTCCTTCGACACTCGTTACACTCTTTTGACACCTTTCCAGGTGCTCGAAATTATTTCTGAGATGCGGTCCTTAAGTAGGATGGGAAAAACAGAAGATAAGAAAAATCACATCTCGGCGGCGAGCCCCAGGGTGGGAAGTCAGAGGGGGCGGGCCTGCTCAGAGTGCTGGGAATGCACCCGGCTTTCTGAGCAGTGTTCTGAGCCTTCCCCGCAGACAGAGGCGGCCTCTGAGAAGGCTGGGGCTTAGTGGGCCCCAGAAACCGCAGGGCCGTTTTTTCACCGTTTCCGAGAAAGTGTCCTTTGAAAATGGGAACGGCTAAAAAACGGCGACCGGAAACGACAACTGGAGCGGGAACCCGTAAAAGAACGGCGACGGAACCGGTAACAAAAATGGCGTCGGAACCAGCAAAAAAACAGCGGAACCGGTAAAGAAACGGCCCTGTCGTTTCCAGGGCCCACTAAGGGCCGGGGGGCTTCTGAGAAGCCCCGCAAGGCCCGCCCCCTCTCTCCCCCCCGGGCGCGCCGCCGAACATCGTCGGGGTCTGGATTTGCGTCCCCCGGATCGGCGGCGAAGTCTGGACCCTACCATCGCCGATCAACGATTCAGGCCGCCCGATGGGCGGCGGGTGATGCGTTCGGAGTTCGTCGAACACGACACCTACCCGAAACCTACTGTCGCCTCCCATCGACTCAGCAGAATCGATGGCTGTTGGGAATAGGATTCGGATGTCGCCACCTATCCGAGGTCCGTCCCAGACCCCAGGACCCTCGAAAGACAACTCGCGAGGAGGGTCCGTCACTGGCGACGGGGTTGAGAGCTGTCGAGGCCCAAGCCGTGGGAACAGATCACCTCGGCAGCCCATGCCTCCTCCGCCCCCTCCCCCTCGCACTTTCTGGCCCACGGGGGCCTCCCCGTCGCCACCTGCCCGATCAGCTGCCGCGCTCGCAGCACACCGCAACAGACAGCACAGAAACGGCGCGGAGGTCCTCGGCGACACGATACTGCGGGAGGGCCGGCGGTGGCATCAGGCCCGCGCCCCCC